TTCTATTTTTTACTTTAAGAAAAAAAATCAATGCTTTCTTTGAGATTTGCATGTGTGGATTTCCCTGCTTTTCTGGGCTGCCATTGCAAAAAGACCTATGCTTCTTGCTGCAGCTTGACTGACTGGCAGTGCTGATGTGTGTAAAAGAAAACCTTGATAATTTCAATTCCTTTAGCATTCTAACACAAAGGATGGCTTTATCCCTTATGAAGAGATCTGGAAACAGATAAAGATTGTTAACATTGACTTAATAGATGTAGTGCAAATAATTGGGATGTAATAGAAGACAAAATGTCCAAAGCCATAGTGATAGCTCTTTTTTTCTTCCTCCTCCCCCCCTTCTTTTTGTAGCATAGGGGAGGGAGGAGATGAAAGAAACATTATCCAAGCCTCCTTTTGCCATCAACCCCTCTTGAATAAAGAACGACTGGAAGAGAAATGGTGTTAGTTTCTGTGCATCAGCCTGAATTTAGATTCCAAGGCTTATTTGTAGGATTCAGCATTTTTGTAACAGCTACATGCAAAGAGGAAAGAAAGCAAAAGAAGTTAGACATTTACCCACTTATGCCTGAGGAGAGACTTTTTTTTTTCCCCATCTAGAAAAATAAAGCAAACTATATTTAAATGCCTGTATATTAATATTACATGTTGAGGACCCCTAGGACTGGAAGTTTCTGCTGGTCCCATTTCTTTTTTATTAATGGGAAGCCTTCCTTTGAGGAAAATAGCATAGACGTTATAAAAGTGACAGTCTACTGAAGGAGAGTTCAGATTGTGGAATTGGTGCAAGTAAGTAAAAGATGCTTGCAGTGTCAGGTGCTGCTTTAACGTGGGCTGTGCAGTAGATGAGAACTGAGCCTCTAACAGGTCTAATCCAAGCACTGCAACTGTTTGGAACTAGGAAGAATTGCTGAAGTTTAAAACAAATAAAGAAGCATACATGGGGGTCTTAATCCCCTATGTAGGGAACAGATAGCGGGTGTAATAGTGATCTTTTAATGTGCACTAGCAGATTACAAGGGAAAGCCACAAAGAAGTCATTGCTTCCTGTCCTCAGCCTGTTTCATACCTGTGCCCATGGTATCTTCTCTCTCTGTTGTTATGATTTCAGAGTCCAGAAAATCACTTGCTGCTCCCTAGAGTCCTTAGAAGGCTATTTCCTGTATAGATCAGACCATTAAGGTATGAGGGTTCCTGCTATCCTTCCTTGCTTACACAACACTGAATCGATGGAAAAGCAATTAGAAGATACTGTGTCACTTTTCAGTCTCCATTTTTTTTTTCTATCAAGAACTCCTGCGCAGGGAGAAATTTCACAGAGCTGGCCTTCCAGGCTGCAGGTTAGAATCTGTTTTGTTTTGCAGCGTCTTGCTAACACGAGTTAGGCCATCGCCCCAGAATTTAGAGTTCAGGCCTTCCTCCACCACCAGGCCCTGAATTAGCAAGGCGTCCTGGAACGTTTGCTGGCATCTGCCCTCTTGTTCCTCTGAACGGGCAGAGCACACCCCATGGCACAGTTCCCTTCCCTCTACAGCTTTTTCAGATATTGAGAAGACTTGTTTGAGTCACTGGGCGTTGGGGCTGTAGAACTCTTGTACTTTCTTGCCTTCCATTGCCTCTGTTTTTGGTGAATAAGTGTTAATACTTGGTTCATCTGCTTCTTTTAGGCAGTGATTCAGTAATGCTGAGGTCCAGCAAAAATACAGTTTTCTACTGTGTAGCTCCGGTTCCAAACTGTGTTGCCTGACCACACACATGGGCATCCCCCCGCTGTTATGCAGAGGCTGCTGTGCGTTGTACATTGGATCACTGATTGGGCATCATGAAAAATTGGGAGATGGAGCATGTTTCTTGGGGTTGTCTTGTTTTGAAGCTAGGTTGCTTCATGATCCTGCCCACAGCCCATCGTGACAAGCTGTGACTCAGCTGAACTGTGTGGGAACTCCAGGGGGATGACTGGGGGCTCCTTGAGCTGATACTGTTTGACAGAGCTGCTCTTTCCTCAAACCAGGATGAACCAGCAGTGCTGCAAAACTTAACTGAAACTGGGTTTGTTCACAACTATCTCTGCACTTTGTAGAATGCCAGGGGAACCTGGTCCTAGTCTTACCAAAGCTATTGCAGCAATAGAAGCACAGTCTCTCTTCAGGCTCAGGAAGATGGCAGAATGTCCATTTATGTTTTTTGCAAGTTTGTTAAATTTAACCATACGGCTACAATTTCAGCCTGTGTTTCTAAATCATCACCTAAATTTTGTAGAAATTAGTGCTTTCAACCCTGCCTGGCTTTTGTTTTACAGGTGTCTGTGTCTCTAAGATGTCTTAAAAGGTATCGTTATGGCTTCAAGTTTTAGACATAAGGAAAAGATCTGATTTATTTTTAAGGCTCAGAAGGAGAAATGCAAAGGTTAACAGTTGGTTGATATATCAGATGTTGCTTGGTATGTGTATCTGCTCTTTATTTTTGCATTTCCTTTTCTCTCCTTCTCCAGGTGTCATCTTGACATGAGTACATTTGAGCTTGGCACTAAGAAGTATATGAAACTTGCTTGTAGGGGTGGAGAAAAGAAACTGCAGCATCCTTGTGTGTATCAAAATGCCTTGTAAAAGCTCTTTAGAGAGTGAGAATTCAATTCTGTGAAACAATTTTCATAAGCACTTGGTACAAACATGAAAACCAACATCTCTGCACATTGTGCAAGCACAAGATACACAGATTATAGTGCAGTTAACATTAATGAAGAGAATAGTTATGTCTAATTAGTAGCACAGGATAGGTGAGAGGGGTTTTGAAGTGTCCTTCTCAGAAGTGGCATTAATCCAGTACTATCCAAGCAGTAAACTCTGTAATGCTTTTTTAAATGGCCTGGTTAGTCCTGAGGGTGTTTGAGCTTTATTGTTGCACACGTAATTTAATGAACTTTTAAAGAGACCTCTAGGCAACAGCCCAAACTCAGAAGGGCAGAGGGGAAAATGCTGATAGACAGTCCTACTGAGCTAGAACACAGTGGCTGGGAAGGAAAAGCCATTGAATGGGCCAATGGCTGAAAGAAGTAAAGCAACTGCACTTGGACTCGCTAACGGGCTTTTTGTCCAAATTGGAGCCATCTCTTTCTTTAGGAAGTTATTTGTGTTGGAAATCAGGCCACAGCCAGGCTGGAGCAGGAAGGAAGAGGCGGATAGTTAGTGATCTCAAAAGGGTGTGCTCTGGGTGCAGAATGACAGCTGTGGAAGAAGTAGGTTGGCTGTGAGGGCATTGAACTTGGCAAGAAAGCTTCTTCAGCTCCTTGCACCGCTGAAAATCTGGTGTCATGCCGGTGACTTTGGAGCAGAGCTGAGGGAGCCTAGAGGGTGGTCATGGTGGTGTGAGGCTCACTGCCCGTTCAGCTGAGAAGCCAGCAGCCCTCCTGAGGCCACTCGTCCCTTCCTGCAACCTCTTTCTGCTTCACAAAAATACAAAAATGTGCACTAAGCAGAGGAGTGCTTGTCACCCTTTTCCTGTTCCCAGCCTGGAAAAGAAGTGAAGCCTCTTACTTTCTGTCTGTCAGTTCCTCAGTGCTTCCCCAACATTTCATAAAGTGTTACAGGCCTTTCCTGCCATTTTACTGTGTCTGCTTTGCTGAAAGGGATGTTGAAGCAGCAAAGAAGTGTAAGCTTTTTTTTTCCAGGGATGCAAGTTGTCTGTATTGGAGTCAGTAAAGAAACCAGAATTTGCGACTTCCTTCCTGTGACGTTTAAATCGTGCATTTCCGTATACTGAGAGGTGCCTCTGACGCTATTTGTGCCTTAGCTTGGCAATTGGATGGAAAAGCAATCTCATTTTCCTCGGCTGATTCATAGGTCCCTAATGACAGGTTACATGTTAATACTTGTTTTCAGCAATTATCGTGCAGTTGTGTTTTGACTAGGACCTGATAGCAAACATGAGAAGAGCTTCAGGCTTAAGGCCTAATAGTGCAGCAATGATACTTTTTGTTTGAGTGTTTGAAAACAGTTCCCCCACAGTTGTTGTAATCCTTTTCTAAGGCGAATAGATCAGAGGTGATTGTTCTTTGCTTGTTTTTTATTCTGTTTCAATGCATTTGACAATGTTTTATATAGCATCAGTTTTGTTGCTGCTCCATCATTACAATGATTGTTATTATAGGGCATAAAATATCAAACTCAGATCACAGCTGTATTGTGTAGGAACTGTATAAATGTGCAGTAAAGAGAGTCTCTGTCGCAAAGTGTTAGTGGTGTCTAGAGAGACAAGGCAGAGAAGAAAAGGCACGATTCAGCAACATGCCCCTGTTGCATAAAATCTTAGTTGCAGAGTCTGATACAGAACAGTTCTTCAGATGGGAGGGGACACATTTCTCATGTACGACGTTGCAGGATCAGGAAAGATGAGCTCTTACCTCCCTTCTAGAGATTAGCACCTTTAAAATAAACTGGCCTTGCATGTGACAGAGAAAGAAATTCAAGCATCTAGATAGTCAAAGGTCTCTTTCTGACCCTAATGGGGTCAGAAATTTGTGTAGTATTTAAGAAGCACATTCAGAGTCAGTGTGAAAGTCCATATTGTTTTAAATCTCACTGAACTTTAAGGATTTGCACTGCACCTAAAAGTGTCTTCTCCCAGCAGCTGGGCGGGGGGTGGAAGGGCAGGTGGGAGGGTTATTCTCCTTAGCAGAGGGATTCTTTGTTTGTAAGTAGGGAAAAAATTGCTTTTTCCCATCCAGAGGTGGGTGAGATAGGTCTGTCTCCATCTCAGATTCAAAATCTCTCCTCACTGCTGCTCGAGGTCCTTCCAGTTGCAAGGGACCAGTTGCTTCTGTATTCCTCAATCTAGAAGTTGGACAGCCCAGAGATGGTGAAAAATCTTGTGATGGATTGGCATCCTTTGGCTGGAAAAAGTGCTAAGAGTAGCCTTTGCCACCATCTTCGAGCTCAATAGGTGCCAGTTTAAAGTGGAGCGATGCTGGCTCACTGACATTGCTCTCTCCTGTTTCTTTACAGCTCCTGTATGACAACCCAAAAGCCCGTCAGGAAGTAGAATATCACTGGCGAGCATCAGGGTGTCCCCACATTGTCCATGTCCTGGATGTTTATGAGAATATACATCATGGAAAGAGATGCCTCCTCATTGTCATGGAATGGTATGGACCATCAGCAGTCCTCCACCAAGCATTGCTCTTTGAGGGGGTGGAGGGAGTGGGAGAATGTGTTGGCCTAGATGAGAGCTAGGTGAGCTTTCCCAGCAGCACCATTTTAGTTTGCACAGCAAACCTTTTGTTGTCTTTATGGAAGTGGTAGGGAAATGTATAGCTGCTCCAGCCAACTTGTATGATGGAAGAATGAGGAACCTTAACCAGAAAATAAATTTTCTTTGTCCTCCTTGACAATTGTCCTCATTAAGGCATTGACTAATTAATACAAACTTGAAAGATATGTCTCTAAAAATATGATGTGCTTTGATTGTGATTGGCTTCCAACTTCAGGTGTAAATCCTATGATCTGACATGATCCTTTTTGCTACTATTTTGACTCTTAACTTTTCCTGTTCCCTACTTGATCTGTAATACCACAGTTATTGTCGTCTTCACTGGGGACAAATTAATAATCCTTTTCAGTGTTTTTATATCTTTCTTTTTTCTTCATCTCCAACCCTTACGTAAAACAAGATTACTGTCAGCCTCTCCGTGCTGGCATATCTGACTTCCCAGCAATGTGTGTCGTTCTTTGCGACAGGATGCCTTAAACTGAAAGCATCAAAACTCCTTGGTCTTGTTTTGTTTTCTAATTATTCCATATCAGAATGGCTTTGTGCATTAATTCAAATGAGTGTGATGTTTAGGAAGCATTGGCATAGGAGGCAGCATGTAATCTCTTCTAATCCATTCCTGCCATGGTTCTGTGTGATTATATGGATGCACAGTCAGGTGTTAATTTGATCTTTTCTACTCATGTAAGGTGGGGCTTCTTTGTGTTCTTTGTTTCAGCATGGAGGGAGGAGAGCTGTTTAGCAGGATCCAGGAGAGAGGAGATCAAGCTTTCACTGAGAGAGGTGAAAAATCACAAGTTTAAAATTAAAGTTTGTGAAAGATTCCTTCTCTGTTCCTCTGTCCCCTTGCTTAGTTCCCTTACAGGAATTTTTCTTTGATTTGATTTTTGTTTATAATTTTTATTTTTTTTCTATCCAAGTCTGTATTAGTTATTTTTTCAAAGTTCCTGAAAATTGGGAATTACTGGAATTGGCCAAGTCGAAGCACAGTGTAGAAAGTTTAGAGGAAAATTCCTCATACAAATCTGCACAGCTTCTTCGTTTCTGAACCACTGCAGCCTCTGTTATTCTAGTCCCTGGTCTCCTGCCAGATCACCTCTAACACGATCAACGCAGCTCCTACTGTGATTTCTCTTCTGGCTGTCCCTCAGGCAGCATCGCTGTGCACAGCTATACTGTTAGGTGATGAATATAATGAGCAAATCACATTTGATGAAACATGCCTTATTCAAGGGTTTTGAAGTACTACTTGAAAGGAAGTGTTATTAGCCACACTGTAAACAAGCCTGCTCATCTCTAATAGGGACTATGTGCAAGTTTAAAGACCTGCTATGAGTCCGTGACAGAGCTTGCAATAGAATAGTCTTGCCATTTTTATTGTCTTTGCTATTTATTATTTGCAGAGTACCACAGGTGTGCTTGACTGTGTTTCTCCTTGGCCATTCACAACAGACAAGAGCTTGTTTCTACTAGGAGTAAAAATGTTAGTGTTTGTAACTAGCATCCTGACAAAATGATTAGAAGAAGAAAAATTTATACCTGAGCTTGCAAATTACTGTGACTGTTTTGCAAGCCTGGTACAGAGGCCAGGCTTTTTTTTGATCCTGTGATCCTTTGTTTCCTAGCCCGGTAAGAATCCTTGAAGTGGAATGAAACTTTATTTGTTCCTCTCTAAAATACAAGATTCCGGGGGGGAAACTGGTTCTGTGATCATTAGTGACTCCACTCTGCTAAAAACGTTGTTTTTATGCATTAAATACCATCGTATAACATTCTAAATACTTACTCAGAAGTCATCTGGGAGTATTAAACAAAAGAACCACCTGCATTCTTTCCTGAGATAAATGAGCCCTGTTCCACTGGATTCCCAGGTTCACTGGTTGTTTATATATCAGCCGCAACTTCCCATTAGGAGCCAGGGTTTTGGCCTGGGCCAGGAAGGAGGAGGTTGTGCAAGGTTTTCCCCAAAGATGATGAGTGTTCCTGCCTTCTGATTGTCCTTGCCTGAGATTGTGTAATTTCTATGTCAAGCCATATGAAAAAGGATTCGAGGTTACAGTAGAGTAATTTCTACTTTCTCTCTCACTACTGCAGCAGAGGTTTCTACCTGTGCAGAAAACAGAGGATCAGGTTGAAGTTGCTAATTCTGTTTCCCTGTCAATGGAGATGTAATATAATGCTCACTTGGTACAATGGGAATGTCACTCCTCCCTGCTCTGAAACCTCTCCCTGTGTAACTGAATTCTTCCAGACTTCCAGAGTACTGCTGTTGCAAGGCAGCTCTCCAACCACTGGAATTTCCCACTGGGGTTATGTAAAATTTTAGAAACATTATTTCAAAGATGGCAGTTTGAGCTTTGCAGAATAGAACTGTTGATTTCGTTTCCCCTGAGCAAAAACTTCTAAAGACGGTGAGGGATGAAGATGTATATTGTTATGCTGCTCTATTTTTAGAAAATCTGTTAGATCCTCCTATTACCCCTGAACCGGAAGCTGAAAGTTAAAATTTCTGTCTCGGACAACCAAGGACACATCCTGGACAATCAGAGATATGTCCTGGTTGGGGCTCCTTTCTCCACGGTCTTGCATGTTGCTTGCATACCTGCTCTGCTCTTGCTGCTTTTCTGGTGAGCAAATTAAAGCACAAATTTACAAGCTCGTAAGAAGCAGGAGTCTCAACCATTTGGTTGCAGTGCCTGCTCAGGAGGAGGGCTGAGCAGCCGGGGAATTGGGGGGTATGGTTGCCTGCAGAACCAAAACACAGCTGTTAGGGCTAATTTTAGGTTTTCTAGTTTTGACGCTAGCCCTGTATTCCAACAAGCTGTTTGTAAGTCATAAGCATTCCCAAGCATGTCCCCGAGTTACAGTGGGAATGTTAATGTGACCTTTCTTTAAAATTGTATTTATAGAGGCCTCTGAGATAATGAGAGACATCGGAACAGCCATCCAGTATCTGCATTCAATGAACATTGCCCATAGAGACGTCAAGGTGAGGCCTGATGGCGTGTGGGCAGGGAGAAAAATAAATGGGCAGTGGTGGTTTAAATAGAACTAGGAGTACAATCAGACAGTCAAAGTATTTCTGTTCCTCTGCCAGTGTGAGAAGGGATCTGTTCATAACTAGTTTGCAACTAGTCAAAGGTCAGAATATTCATGTGTGCTAATACCTTCAAGTTATGTATGGAATGCGGAAGAATCTGGTGATAGTCAGATGGTTAATAAAAGAGGTGCTACCAACTAGCAATCCAGTTAGTTAACAAGAAAATAACACTGCCTGAAATGAGCTTATACTAGATGCTATACCTCTGTGTGCAGTCTTCGCCAGTTATTAGCTATTTTCAGGATCATACTTGCCTAAAAAAACCCAAAAAAACCCAACAAACACCCCCCCGCCCCTCCCAAAAAAAAACCCCAAACCCAAAACAAACAAAAAAAGCAAACACTAAAACCCCCTTCAGAAACAGGAGGAACTGCATATATGGGAGGAATAATACCAATTCCATGTATCCAGCCCACTTTAATAGTATGTGTAAATATTTGGGAAAATAGGGAAAGCTCAGTTACTACCATATGTGTGGAACAGTATGCTTTATTAGCTAAAGTTTGTACCCAAAGCTTGTTGTGGAGATTTGACAGGGTTTGTAGTATTGTATTTTGTGTTCATTCTGTAAAGTGTGCAGCAAAGCAAAGGCAGGATAGCTGCACCAAGGCGCTTCTAGCACAGCGATACAGCAGTGTGATGGAATGTGCTGGAGAGCAGGTCACATAATGATAGACTGAGGCATCTGGTTGATTCTGCAGTTCTGATTTTGTGAATTTTCTAAACACGCTTCTTTGTGTTTAGCTGCTTGGTATCACTGAGGGGTATGTTTGAGGGTTTTTTAGGCAGGAACTGAAGAATGACTTAACAGTTCAGAGACTAAAAATCTGTTCACTTTTGTGGAGCTTTGTGCCATTGCCTATCACCAGCACAGAAACTGAAGCAGTTAGCCCCAAACACCACCTACGCACACTCAGTGAACTAACATACAAATGGTTCAAATTGCTTAATAGATCCTAAGCGCTGTTTTCTTTCAAGCCCTTCCTTCTTCTGTATGTCCCTAAACACTAGCATGAGAGAGGGCATAGCTTCCTTATGACTGAGAAACTGGAAAACAAGTTCAAACAATTGCAGGTTCTGGAGATGTGCTGTTGTCCCTGTTCTTGTGCACAAAAGCTTGTACTTCCCTCTGTGCCACTTCTGGTTTTGGAGAGCCTTTATGAGAGTGTGGAGCAAGACTGGAATTAACTCGGGTTTCAGGAGACAGAGGAGGGGGGAGCAGGAAGGGAACTGTGTCTGTATTGGTTAATTCTGATGGAGTTATGCCAGTTGCTCATAGAGAGCTTGGCTGATGACTTCTCTTGCCTTCCACCTCAGCGACTTGAGTGCAGTACAGAGTGCTGTCAGATAAACTGGTGTTGATCAGACAGAACAATCCTAGTCAGTGCAGTGAACTAGAGAGGGGTTCAAGAAGCCAGACTTGATGCCCATTGGACCTGATGAGAGTCTTGTGATTTGCTCTCCCAAATACCATGTTGAGAAGGATGTTGATCCTTAGTCTGGGCAAAAACGCTCCATGTTGGGAGGGAACTTTCTGCATGGTATGATGGGGATGTGAGAGAAGTAAGAAGAGACAGATGCTGGTGATGTAATGATCCAGGCAAGTGGGAGCGGTTTGACCTTTCAGCTTATTAGGGACATTTCTTCATTGTCCAGTTTATCCTTTGTCTTGTTGGCCTTTCAGCCTGAAAACTTGCTTTACACATCTAAAGAGAAGGATGCTGTACTCAAACTCACAGACTTCGGCTTTGCCAAAGAAACCACTGTACAAAATGCATTGCAGACCCCCTGTTACACTCCCTATTATGTGGGTAAGTTATCCAAGATGCATTTCTTCTGCATTTCAGTCTGTCATCCCTCCCCTTAATGTGGCCCTGTGGACTGTAGGAATGGATGGGAAATCTGCTATTGTGGGTGTAATGCAAAGGGGTAGCCTGCAGAACTTAAACTGGCATCCAACCCAAACTTAGTCTGGTTCCAGTACAGTTCAGTGCTCCTGCTTTCTTCCTTGGTTGCAGAAGAAACAGCCTTAACAGGGGATGTAAATGAGGATCAAGGAGAGAGGTCATACCGCTTCTGATTACACTTGAAGTAATCCTGATGTTTTCTTTGAATGATGCAATAAGTGCCATAATTTGAACTCAGCTTCATGATTATTTGGGTGTTCCCTTGCAAAACTTCCCTTAGCTTACCTAATGCAGTAGAAGAGAACAGGGAGAGTATTGCCTCAGCTGTAAAGCTTCTTAAAGCCGGCAAATGGAGGAATTGGTAATAAAACACCAATGTGACTTAATCAGAACTGAGGTTTTGCCTGCATTTTGTCTAAAGACAGAGCACTGTGTAATGAATGCCATAGTAGACTGTCCTTTATGCACTCATTTTAGAGTACATCCCTTTTGGTCTTTGAGTTAATAGTCATTCACCATATGGTATGACTGAGGCAGTCTGCACTAGGAATTTCTTTGGAGGAAAAAGGGCTTATTTTTTTGGAAGAATTAGTTCTCTTCTACAATGTAAGTTTTTATAGGATTTTTTGTATTGAAAGATACTGTTATTCATTGTTACCAGAGAACTACGATAGCAATTTTTTTTTCTGATGCTTTCTTCTATATTTTTGTAAGTTCAGATCAGTGATAAAATGTTAAGGAATTTACCCATATATGTTTCTATGCCTTTATCTTTGTATGTAAACAGGCTGACATTTCCTTTCTCAACACCTTTTTATAAACCAGCATGATTGCTTTTATGTTTGAAGAATCATTTTTCTTCCAAAATCAAACTCCCTGCCAGTTCACCTGCCCCAGGGGAAAAAAAAATCCCCTCTAAATGTATCTCTCCATAATTTTGTTACTTAGTGAAGAACTGTAATGCTCTGGAGGCCAAAGAAAAATACATTGCTTTGTAGCTGCTGGAGCTAAACACACTCCACCCAGGTACCAATCAAAATTTTATCACAGCTCAAGTAGGTCCTTTCTGTTCTGATTTCTGGAACATATGCTCCTGCCTCGTTCAGTGCAGTGTCTCCCTGTACACTTTTAGCTATAGCTCCTTCTGCTTTTCTGTAATCTTAGTACTCTCTTGAGCAGAGAGACACTAAGGTGAAGACTAGGGCATTTTGCCAGCTCCATTCCTTTTTAAAGCTACGTAAGATGTGTTTAGGAACTTGTCAATAGAAAATACTACCCAATTCCTGCAGTGAGTTGCATTTTTTTTTAATGCCTCCGATATTTGTTGTTGAGTGTGCTGCTTACAGGGTGGTGGGGATGAAAGGAAATATCTGGTGATCTGTTAACTTACGTTTTTAATCTTCAGCCCCAGAAGTCCTTGGTCCTGAGAAGTATGATAAATCATGTGACATGTGGTCGTTGGGTGTCATCACATATATTCTGTAAGTATTTGGAAAGAGGCTTGATGAATGGAAAAAGGAAACATTGTATTAAATCTGCACCTAAAAGTAATTAGTCACTAGAATCATGTAACCTGCAGAAGAATATAAGCTCGTATGGGACCTTGTAAGAGAGGAAAGGACATTGCTAGTTATAAGATTCTTTTGTCCACTCTTACAGCCTGTGTGGGTTCCCTCCATTCTACTCAAACACCGGTCAAGCCATTTCTCCGGGGATGAAGAGAAGAATTCGGATGGGGCAATATGGGTTTCCCAATCCAGAATGGGCTGAAGTATCAGAGGAAGGTAACAATGCTTAGTGTCACTGATGAGTATGTGCATGATGTGCAGTGGTAAAGCACTTACAAGAGACTATTTCTAAAAACCTGCCTTAGTTTTTGTTTCTCTTTTTTTAGGACTTAAATTAATTTTTTGTGAGGTGATGCAGAGAACGACTGGGAACTCAAGACGCTAGCCAGCCACCTAAGTACTACAGAAAGTAAATGACTACTGAAAACTTTCTTTCAAATTCCAGCTAGTGCTAGTGAATGCCAAGATTAAACCCTCTGGAAACAAAAGTCTTTAATCCTGAGAAAGGAGACTGCCAGGGCAGCTGCAATGCAAGCTGGGTTGGAAGAAAGGCAAACTGTCTTAAGAGCTCGTTCAGTCTTTGCCCTCCTTGGTGATACAGCCAGCAAGGATGGCAAGTTTTCACGGTAGCTTTTTGTGATGTGGGAACTTGACAGCCACCACTTAAATCAAGGTCAGCAATTTATTTTGCATAAGTCATTGACCAGAAGCTGCTGCTGTTCAGCTGTAACCTGGATGGGCTCAAACCAGTGTCCTGAAAGTGGATGTTTTTGATTCCCTCTTATTCTGGCAGTCTCATAAGCTGGAAGCCTCACCTGCCCATCATATTAGAGAGAAAGGTCAGCAACCTCTGGGCACATCTTTTTTTTGAACAAGGCCTTTATATTGCTGTTGCTAGCATCCTATTATTGTCTGCTGCTTAGCAATAACAAATTATCATTGGATAACACTGTGATCTGTGGCACTTTAACCCCTCATTGGATCTTAAGGTTGCACGTGCAGCATGGACTACTGAACATTAATAAGGAAAATGTTTTACCTATGGGATGCTGGCTTAATATTTGTCTGCCTTGGGTCTTGTTCATATTACAGCATTATTAAAATGCTATGGGAGCTTCGTGAGAGAAGATTTGCTTGGAAAATCTGTAGGGTTGCTTGAATGAAGTATGATTCCCTGAATGAAGATAGGTTCACTCTACCTTTCAACCTGTTAGATAAGTGAGTTTATGTGCACTCCTTTAGGCTGATCAGGCACCTTCAGCAGACTGCTTCTTTTTGCTCTCCTTTATACTATCCTTGTCATGGTTTTCTTTATCTAATCGTTCCTTCATTGCATCATCTATGGAGGCTTCCTCTAAATTCCCCACCAGCTTCCTGTAATCATCTTAATGGGCTCTGTTCGTGGTCCCCTCCTTTTGTTTCCTTGTACTTTTTAAGCTCCAGGTAGTCTCTTCTGTAAAACCCCCTTTTCAGCCTCTCTCAACAAACTAAAGTCTCAGCTTGTATTTCTGGCAGCTTCTTACAAGCATTTAGTCATCTTGTATTCAATATTTCTAAAAGTGAACTCTTATTCAGAAATTTTTCTAGGTTCCCCCAAGGAAGTTATGTTTAAGTCTTTCTGAATAATGTCCCTTGGAGGAAGCATTTCCTGTCTGTCCACCTACATTAATGAAACTCTGGTCCAGACTCACATCATCTCATATCTCTGTTACTTACTACTCTTGCTTTGGTAGATACCATGTTCACAGAAAGCTGCTACAAAGCCTCTTTGTGCAATGCATTTTTTTTTTGACTTCACATCCTTTTGGTGGCCTCTCAGTTGTCAGAGAGAAGTGTTCATTTTCTTCCCCTGCCTCCCCACCCCCCAAACTCTGCTGGTTTTTGTCTCCTATCATTTCTCCAAACATTAGCTTATGCATTCATTCAGCCCATAATGCCAAGCTTCTCACTGTCTTTCAGACAGGCAGCTTTCTGTTCCTGTGGTTCTCTTTTCCTCAAGTTCATGCTCTCAGAACAGTTGGTTTGGTGATGTAGATAGCATAGATGGAATCCCCAATCTTTTGTCTTTCCTTCTTACTTCATTTTGGACATTTTAATGTTCTGCCTCTTTAAACATAATAACCTACCACACTGTACATGGCTTCTTAACATGGTAACAGTAATAGGTAAGTGTTCTGAATTCTGCAAAATTATCTTCCTTCATTCAGCAGGCCTTTGTGTTCTCATGGTTATTTGGGAACGCAGTAGTAGACTACAACATGCCATGTTGGTTCTGTTTTTCAGCCAAGCAACTGATTCGCCATTTACTGAAGACTGACCCAACAGAGAGGATGACAGTTTCTCAATTTATGAATCACCCTTGGATTAATGTGAGTTTCATATCTCTTTTTACAAGGGAGCAAGATGAATTTTTACATGAAGAACTTATATGTAGCTCCACATAGCACAGCAAGAGAAGGATAATGATTACTGTTAGTAACTTAACCTACTGTGCCCTCTGTAGGGGGTCATCTGCCTGTAGAAACACAATTCTTCTTGGTGTTAGCAGAGGACACACAGAGACACCCACAATAGCGTCCTTGGAAGCAAAAGCTGAATGTATCTATATCTTCTGTGAGCAGGCAATCACTGTTGACTCTGCAGCATATGCATGTGTTACTCTCTTTAAAAATATAAAAATAAACTGTATGTACTTACTTCATCGGTGCAGGATTTAAAGAGAGCTATTATTAGTGGTCTCAGGCACCATTGTGCATAGCTGTGTTAGCGTGAGCACAGTCCTATGCTTAGTGGGAATTTTCATCCTTGGCAGAGTTTGGAAATGCGTGGCAGGAGGAGCAAGGGTCTCGGCTTAGTGCCCTGTAGGAGATTGCCAGATAGGGTGGTACACAGAGCTATTAATGGTCCCAGTTCAGGTTTCATTCTATGACCTGATTGAATTTACTTTTCCTTAAAAAATACCTTTTGGGGGAAAAGAAAAAAAGACTAATAATACAATATTAATTATTTCAAACAAGAGACAAGCATCCCGGGAGTTATCAGGCTGAGTTTCAGGATATCTGCTCTGCTCCGCAGGTGTCACTTAGAATAATCAATTATACTTTTCACGCTTATGCCTAAAAGGACACCAGTCTTGTTCTTACTTCCCAAAAAATCATCAGCTAGGAACAGAATCACTTGTACTGTAGAATGCCCTGTTCTCTCATAGTGCTTTCTGTGTCTATGCTGAGCCTCAGAGGAAGGGACAGAAACAGAGGCATGACTATTAGTCAGCATTTCTATAATGTCTGTTTGAAGATCTGAAAGCCCTTAGAATCATATAGAAATGTAGCTGTATAACATCCCGATGAGGTAGACAGATGTCTTCATTTAGAGTTGTGAAAACTGAAGAATTAAGGTTACAAAGACTCTGTGGAACTGGAACAGAACCTAAACAGTGTCTCATAGTCTTTTTTAACCAAATAAAAATGTAATCACTGTTCAGAATAAATACCTCCAGCTTTAAGTGTTTGAAGACCCAGGAAGGAGGTGTTCCAGAAGTCAGCAGGCAATGAATTTCACAGAATGAGTGCCTAATAGCTAAGGAAGCTACCACCTACAGTGACACATGTTACTTGAAATATGCATATAACCAATAAATAAGGAGGAGATTAGAGACAAGGCCTATAGACTCTGCTGCACCAAAGAGCCGTGCTAGAATACCGTTCCTAGAAGAATGCTCCAGGAGCTGCAGATTGGCGTTTTTTTTCTGCTGAAGCTATTGTTCCCATGAGGCAGAGAGAGGGAGAGGGAAAGACCAACATAGTGAACGTCTGCATTCTTCCTTTTCTTTTCCTAAATCCCGAAGTGGGAACATGTATGGGGAGATGCCTTGCACAAGCAGTGGAGGAGGGTGTTTGTCTCTCCTCTTTTTTTTTTTTTTTTTTTTTTTTTTTTTTTTCTTTATTACATGGATCGCAGAAATATTATTGTGGACTATGCAAAAATTGTCAGTTTAGGTGGAGCGTGTAATCCTCTAGTTAGCTTGTAGATTTAACAAGGAGTAGCTCGCAGCAGATCGGAGGGCAACTTCCACACCCACTCAGGGACACCACTAAAGCCTGTCTGCTGGTTTTCCATTTCCCTCCTCCCAGCTGTGCTTGATAAAACTGTACCCTAGCAAGCTTGGGCCCTTTTCCAGCTGATGCAGGAGTCATGATTTCTGCTTCTGCTTCTGTAACTACTGCAGTGGTGCTGTTAGCTCAGTGGAATATAAGCAATGCTTCCAACGTAATGCTTATTTTACAATTACATACACAGGGATCCCCTTAGACTTTGTTGACCTGCAGCTGGTATTGGACGCCACAGCAGTAGACAGCAAGTTTGACTAGAAAGCATAAGGGAGATAGAATGTGAATCTATAGTTTAGGTTACGGACTGGCAAGAAATACTGTGATTCTTGCTGAATTTAGCTAGGGAACTGTGCTTTGTGCTTTAGAAATTGTACCTTATTCTAATTTAAAGTATCCACTGATCTTCCATAGCAGGTGAGCATAGATCTCAATTTTATGTGGAAGAGTATCTCAAGCAATGCACTGTCTTCTGAACGGTGCCTTACTCTGAATAGCACAATTTCCTCCTTGGGGCACACTGATGATCTGATAAACTGGTATTCTGAGTTAATGTATATGTGCATGAAAATGTCTCCTACGATAAATCCTAGAAGATAAAGGTTAAATTAACCACTTTAAAACATGGACTAATGAATAGTGAAATGATAGTTAAAATCTAAGATGTACATACAAATTTATCTAACACAGCATTATTGATTGGACTGGAAGGGAGCAGAGTGAAATGAACTCCGCACTGATTTCTGTTTCCTTTTGTTCTTTAAAGATACTGTTGTGTGGGGAATAGTCCTTTTCTACCTCACACATGAATTAGCTTGTGGAGTGATTGAAAGCATGAATAATGAGGGCCACTGATGGACATTAAATAACTTTTATGCTCTCCATACACATAGAAGAGCAAGCAGTCACTTCCCAAACGTGATTTTGCAGAACACTTCTTTTGGTATTTTTCACTTTTCTCAGAGATCAATGGCAGTGCCACCAACACCTCTTCATACTGCACGGGTCCTGCAAGAGGATAAAGACCACTGGGATGAAGTTAAAGTGAGTCAATCATAGTTCAGATTTCTTGAAGTCAAGTCCAACAAGAGATCAAATGGGCTGGCTTCTCTGCGTATGCTTATTTCCTTGGAGATTATGGCTGTTTCGAATACAACCGTGTTAAACAAGGGAGTCCTGGTTAGAACAGTTGTGTATATGACAATTGTCTAAAAAAGAAAAACGCTATTTGAGCTTCATCCAACAGCATTACAGCTGTGCCAGATACTAACAAAGAAGATGTTTATGATCAAAGTTATTAATGATGCTACCTGCTGAGCCACCGTATGTAACCACAGCGGAGAAGGGATAGTGTTGAGGGAGCTTCAGGTTCATCATTGCGAAGTGAAAAATGTAATGAAAATGTAGGGGGCGGGGTGGGAGGGTTGAGCAGCATTCTGCTTTTCTACTCTGTTCTTGTATTGTAAAGGAACGTTAAATAGCCTTAGCCTTCTCTTGTTGTGACTTTTGGCGAGGGGAGATAAAAACATATCTCTTTCCTTAATCTAACTAGGTGCCTCACCTACTGTTTGTGCTGATGACAGTTGAATGCTTCCTGCAAAAAGAAACTATAGGGCAGACTAAAATTGTTTGCAAGCTTTATTTCTTTCCTGCTGGCCAGCAGGTTGGCATGCTTTTACAATTAATTCTGAATTTTTTGCACTTACAGTGCTTGGCATTTTGATAATTGCAACATTCCTGTAGCGTATCTTACTGATTACTGATTTTATTTAAATCACTGATGTATACTCTCAGCTGTTGAACTGTGTAATGGTAAAATTTCATAGGATCTAGACAACATTTGCCTCCTGAGTCAAAGAGATCAAACAGTTTCACTTAGTGTTCTTCATTTCCATGTTTCTGAGAACTTCTTATACTTGTGCGTTGTATAGGTCCCAGAGGTTTTCCCTTGGGCCACTGGCATTCCTATAACATTTAATAGTTTTTCCTTTCCTGAACTAAATGGATAGACATTCATTTACTTAAGGAGATCTTTGCTCAAAGCTTTATTAAAAAGTTTAAAATTTGCCCACACTTAAACATTAATTCAGACTAAGGAAGCATGTGAATTTGAAGCACATACCTCTAAAGAACTTTGTGTGAACTCTTTATTCTAATTCCTGCTAACCTAGTTTGGTAACAGAGCAAGGAAAGCAGCGCTCCAACTCTGGAGTAAGAAACCCAGACTCAGTAGCTGGTGAAGGCCCAGAGCCAGCTGGTAAGAAATGCTGGGCATGGGGACATGGTGGAATTTAGGCCAGCGGAGTGTGGTCCTGCGTGCTCACATATGAAACACTATGTGAATAGTTCCTCCTGAATGAGTCCATTAGTAGAACGAAGCCTTTAGTCATAGTCCAGCCCAGCAGAAAGGGCTCAGCTATTTCTGGCTGTAGAGTAACAGAGGGGTTTCTTTTTGTACATTCATCGCCTGGCAGTAGTGTGGATTGGCTGTCCACTCTCTGCCTCAGGGTTTTCAATAAATTGCTTCCTTGGTTTCAGGAGGAGATGACCAGCGCTTTGGCTACCATGAGGGTGGACTATGATCAGGTGAAAATCAAAGACTTGAAAACATCCAACAACCGCCTCCTGAACAAACGCCGTAAGAAGCAGAAGCAGGCAGGCACCTCTTCGGCAGCCCCAGGGTGCAATAACCAATGAGAAGAGAAGGCAAGGACCTGTGGGTGGAGGGTAAAAGTTCAAAGGAACGATCTAAAATCACTATGATCAACTCAGTCCCTAACACAAAGGCAATGAGACCGTGAAGAAGCTATCCTGCAAAGAGGGAGCAGTGTGAAAGATTACATTTTTATAACTTGAATCAGGGCTTTGCTTTTAAAGGCTAATGTATATGACATGATTCTGTTGCATATTGCTAGGGAAGGTGCAGTAATACCAGAAATGTTATGGGTTTTTGTTTTGGCTTTAACTGTGTCGGACGGGAGGAGAGAAGAGGCAGTCTCAGCGTACTAATGCACTGAGGCTTTAAGAGCCATCTACAAGAGTAACTTCTGCTACCATTTTAAACTTGGGAATAGAAAAATGCCAAGTTTTCTGCTAGGAGGGTTTTAGTAGTTCAAACATGAGTACTGAGAAAGGAGAAAAATGTCACTGCTCTTTATATGAGTAGCACAGGTGCGGTTCTGTTATGGATGCAGCTGGACAACATGTTAGAACTGTTAATATTTCCAAAGTTACCTCCTATAGTTACAGAATATCACTTAAACAGTAAGCAGTTATTCCTGTTACAGGAAAAAGCATCCATACATTTTCATTTTCATGAAGTCTTCACGTAGTCTCATGTGAGGATTTGAGTGTGTCATGGATTCTCATTTGATAACGTGTAAGTTTTCTAAACTGTAAGCATTATGTTGTGTCTATGCCACTGTCAGATCCCTCTCTTGTAATGTTTTTAATTTAAATGGTACTTTATGTGAAGAGTTTTAATAAGGATTTAATTAGTTGAAAGTATCCTGCAGAGGATATTGCTGTTCCTCTTGGATCCACAACCTCTAGGGTGCGCAAATGGACATGTAGTTGTATACAAGAGATTCCTCTAGAAGAGAGGCTTCTGAAATTTGGGAAGAAGTAGCAAATGCATGTTCTCTGAATGGACCCTGGTTTCTGCCAGCATCCCTTCTGGTAATTATCTCCAGATCCTGTGCCTAAGATGTGCTGATAATAGCAGATTTTGGGGTGCTGGGGTTGGTTTGTTTCCTGGGGTCAGGGAGGGGGAGGATGCTACTTTATTTGCAGTGGTTTGTCAGTGTTTCTGGATCCAAAGATTTTTGCCACCTAAGGGAGATTACCTATAAGTATATCCACCCATTGTTTTTTTCCTATTCTAATTCTTGGTTTATGGGATCCTAGCCTTGGTTTGCTAATTTGTTTTACTTTGTGATCAAAATATTTCCTCTCACTGTACTTTGGGTTTGTTTTTTATTTTTAGTTGAGGTGAAGCAAATATTTGTGAAAGTACTATCAGAGTCTAGGATGAAAATCACGTGCTTCCAGTGATGCAAGCAAAAACTACTTTGTGGTAGGCACACAGAGTACTCGTGTGTTAATAGGCTCAGAAGAATGTTAAAAGACAAAAAGGAAAACAAGGCTCCAGAGAGGATCTGGATCTTCAAATCTGACTGTCACATAGGTCTTGTTACCTCCAACAAAGATCTGCTCGAGGCTTTGGACCTTGTCTAGGGAGCCCATCTCCAAAGTGTTGGATGAGACCTCCCTTCTTTGTGAACTGGTCCTAGGGTTTTATAAACTGATTTTAATAAATCGTGTTACAGCATTCCTTCCTCCTGTCATCCCTGTTCTTGTTGAGATGTTTCAGGGTTTGTACTGCTTTGCGAGGTACATCTGTGTTGAAGGTGATGGGAAAAGGGAGAAGGAAAGTGTTCAATGATGTTCTCGTTCAAAGGACATTTGAGCATTTTTTTAAGATTACCAGGGTTTGTTTCTAAATATCAATCTCTGCAAAGATGTATTTTAAAATTGTTTCCTGTTTATCTAGGTACCTCTATAATTATAGCATGTCCTGTATATATTTGTTTTATCATATTACTTCCATGAATTATGCAAGTATTATTCACTACCTGTAAATAATAATACAATTAATTAGGAGTTGTGACGTGTTCAGGGTTGCAACAGCTGGGATTAGAGCCAGATCCGAGTTTCTGTCCCTTTATCCACATTTTTGGAGGGTGCTAAGTACATTGCTCCTGCCCTCCCATCTCTGTGCCCCAGCAGGGTGATACGTGCTCCCACTCTCCTAGTTAATAGGGCAACCTGCGTATAATGTGGTGGTGTCCTGGCTGCCTTGGTGCTGAAACTGTTGCAACCCACGGTTTTGTTTCTGCCTTGCCCAAAGTTTGAGCAGGAGCTCTCAGTTTCTAGCTGATGCCTTCTTGCTTGTGAGTTCAGTCTGGAGCTTGAAGATATGCATCTGTTACTGAGTAGTTTTCCACGGGCAACTGTAAAGCACACCTGGACCTGATTCCTTCCTGTGGGCTTCCAGTCCCGTTCAGAATCTGGAGTGATGAGCTGATGCACTTGGGCACAGCACCTTCAGCTTGGAGAAGAGGAGGCTGAGGGGAGACCTTATCGCCCTCTACAACTGCCTGAAAGGAGGTTGTAGCAAGGTGGGGGTTGGTCTCTTCTCCCAAGTAACAAGCAATAGAACGAGAGGAAATGGCCTCCAGTTGTGTCAAGGGAGGTTTAGATTGGATATTAGGAAAAGTTTCTTCACTGAAAGGGTTATCAGGCACTAGAATAGGCTGCCCAGGGAAGTGGTTGAGTTCCCCATCCCTGGAGGTATTTAAAAGATGGGTAGATGTGGTGCTTAGGGACATGGTTTAGTGGTTGGACTTGATGATCTAAAGGTCTTTTCCAAGTAAATGATCCTGTGATGCAGCTTTCAGTCCCTGTACAGTAGAACAATATCATGTCATTAAATTTGGACTACCAGTTCTTGCGTTCTACCCTGCAGTGACAACATCCAGGAATACTGCAAAGCCCGGTGGAAACCTGAGGAGGTCCTCAAAATGGCAGCATGGAATTGTATGCAAGTATGGTACAGAAGTGTTTGTGCTTATTTTACAAAAGAAAGGAGGCAACTCCTTGGGAGCTGGGAAGCAGCTGCTATGCAATGTATGGACCCTCAAATGGCTGTCCTGCCTGCACCACAGCTGTCTCGGGTGACGCACTGGGAGCAGCGTGCATGAGCTGTGGTGGTCTTAACCGTGTCCGAGTCAACCTGAGCGGTGAGAATCTGCCAGGAACCAGCCCTGGGGGCTGTGCTTGTCCTCCCCCCCCAGCAGCTGTGAGGGTGGCCGTGGTGTCTGTGTGTCCATATGGGCATATACATCTCCCTCTCTTGCCCAGGAGCCCCCGCAATCCTGGTAGCTGGCGCCAACTAAAACAAAACCCGCCGGGGTCTTGGGGCCTGTGTCGCGTTAGCAGTCTCGGCGGAGCCTGCAGGGAGCACTGCCTGTTGCTAGCACGTGCACTGCACCCTGCGGGAGCCTGCACTGGGATCCATGTGTTAGGTTTTGCAAAGATTTTTCCTTTCTGGCTGCTAGCTCTGTTATAAGAAGGGCCCGCCTTCTAGCTGCATTCACACACGTTATAAAGAGCTCTGGTGTGCTAGTGGTGGTATTTGGGTCTTGCTTCTTCCCAGAGCCATATAGTATAATAGTCTCTTTAGAACGTGCTGCTTAGGATCCAAATTTATAACCTGTTTTTAGAAAGGATAGGCTATTATAGAACTGATTATGCATTTGCATATTCATCAGCCATATAGAGGAGGTAAAGAGCTGGGAAGGGAAAGAAATGAATGGTCAATAGAGAAGGCTTCAAGGAGAACACAGATTAAAAGGTCTATTTATTTTTTACAGCAGAAGCTAAAAAAGGGCTGTGCACAATTCCCCACCCCCATTCCTTTTCATAGCAATTGCTTATGGGCTGCTGCCTCCCCTTGTATTTCTCTGCACTGTATTCCTCTCATACACGCGCATTCTTGCCCGCTCACTGGCAAGTGCACCTTCTCTGATTCACACACGAGTGTGTACACAACACAGCTAAAATTCCCTCCCTTGCTTTTCTGTTTTTTGCACTACCCCCTGCCTTACCTCTTTGACCACATGTGCCATATGATGAACCTTTTTTGACATGGTAGAGTTAAAAACTAACACTAATGGTAAGCTCTTGGCCTACTTCTGTGTTTTACCATTTGTCAAACCCCAGCATGCAGTCCTGGGATTGCTTTTCTCTCTTAACACTTCACTGCCTAGAGTCTAGAGGCCCAGTTACGTAACTGCTTCTGACTTGTCTGACATGAGGGATAATGAGCATGCCACATACTCAGTTTGATCTAATTTCCTGTCCTCTTTTCAATTCAGACTTTATTTGGCCCATGTTTAGACAAAGGCGCTGTTGAGAAAAGGAAGATTTAGTGAGGAGGAGAAAATTGAAGCTTTTAATTACTTGCACGTAATCATAAGTACATGTACTGTTTTAAACCTGTGTTAGAGGTAGGGAAGAGATACTAATCTATGTCCAGCTGCTTTGGTACATTTGCTTGCTTTAGCCTAAGGATGAAGCCAACCATGGGAGCCAGCTCAGCTGTACTTAACAGGAGGAAAACTTGTCCTCTAGGATGTACCCACGCACCCTGGCTTATTCACCAGTGCCCTTTCACACTCACTAGCAAACCACAGGGACAAAGGGAGTGAAGGCAAGCAGGGAATGAATTTACATGTGGGAGAGCCCCTTTCTTCCAAGAGTACATGTTTTGGAGGGGTTCTTGTGGAAATACCAGAATTCTCTTTTAGCTAGGTTCCGGTATTTCTCCTCTTTGTCTGGCTGTTCTCAGTAGTGGAGCTGGCATATCTGAGAATGAACAAGTTAAGTCTCTTTTAGATAGCCTAACCAGGATGAAGACAAGAAAGCAAACTTGGAAGACAGAGAACATGTGGTAAAAACCTCAAAGAAAAAAAAATATTGTTAAAAAACCTTGTAAGCTAACAAGCAAATTTACTTCAGGTACATACTTAAACACATCTCACATCCGGAAAATTGAGGTTAGAGCAATCCTAGGTAATAGCATTTGCTGAAGAATTGTTTCCCTGAAATCTTTGCACTGGGTAAGAAAATCCTTTTTGAGTATTAAGTACAGCTTTTTTTTTTTTTTTTAGTCTGTGTTGTTAGAAGAATTTAATGGGGCAAAGGGAGTAGAAATGGAGGGTGATATGTCATGTTGAAGAATAAGATAAGAAATGTCTGCTGTTGTATTCTATTCCAACTTAATTTTTTTTACTGCAGGTGCTACCTCTGTAGACATAGCAGGATAGATGCAACTTTTTATTAGTCTTTTTTTACCACTGGAGGAGGAAGAGAATGTTCCTGTACTCTAGAGAGGTGTAGAAGATAACCCTGTGACTGTAAATCTGTAGATGATGCCTAGTGTTAGCTGTATTTCAAAATTTCCTGCCTCATGAATCTACCAGGTGCCAAGATCTTGTAGGTCTGCTCTAGCTGCATAAAGGCACAAAGGCATCATTGTCAGTGGGTTTCCTCATACTACTTGAGACTGCAAAAAGAAGCAATTGCTGAAATATACTGCAGTGGTTTTAGCTTCCAGGAGCCAAAAGAGAAAAAAAAATGCAGCTTTCAAGTAGCTGGAAGTGACATGAAGAGCCAGGCGATCTTTTGTCTGAGGAGGGCTGGTACTTGAAGATAGCGTAGAGGTATCTTGACCTTGCTTCAGTTCAGCTTCCACATCTGATAATAAACATGTTTTAGCTGTGTGGGGCTTCAGGCCCAAATTACTAGTAAAGTCTCTCCTGCTTTGACAGCATGCTGGGTTTTTTCCATTGTTGGCCACTGAAATGTACTTATTTGGTCCATGGCTGCAAACCATTTAGCATTCTTGGTCCTAGGGCTGCACTGAAGCTGAAAAATTCAATATAGGAGGAGTTGCATCATTTTCTTCCACGTTAAGCTTCTAATTTTATTTCTGTTGAATTCTACTGCATTCGAGTTAATTACCAGTATTGCTAGTGTAACAACTGTTTCTTATTGCACCTTCTTTATTTGTTAGCAGTGAGCATAAGTGCTTCTTTTTGTGGGTGTCTTTTTCTCTTTTTTGTCCTAGGAGTTTTATTCCAGTTTTGAAATTAAATGGCAAGGTTACTTTGCCTAATAACATTCTCCCAAATCTTCCAGGCTAACCCTTTTGGGAAACATGGAAGATGTTCTCAAGAGATTTCTTATTGCTTAGCTACTGAAACACCTGCTAAAGCTGAGCTCTTTAAAAAAACTGAAAATTATTTAAATGTGAAAAAGAGTGGGTTGATCTGGAAAAGAAACTTCTCAAAAGACTAAAATTAGAATGGAATGTGTTAGAAGAGAAATACTGGTGGGGGAGGAGGACTAAGGTTTTTAAAATAAAAATGCTACCACTTGAGTAACGATCAAGGAATTTTTGGTTAGGATATTAGCTGCTGCTCCAACCCAGAGCAGTTCCTGACTTCAGAAAAAATTATCTTTCCCTAAAAAAAACAATACAGACTCCATTTTTTTTTTCTGAGGTAGTCTAAAGCAAGGCTCAGCTTGATGTTTATAAATGAGACTTTTTAGTAAATGTTGTTAGTATACCAATGAAATGGCCTTTTTTTTTTTTTAGAGCAACTAAAAACTGAACAAATACCCTTTGCAGATTAAGTTCTGCTCTCCTAAAGTTGCCTGAGTGAGCTCCCTTTTTGCTTGCAGAAACCTTGTCAAGGTGAAATTAAC